GCCTTTGCAGACCATATATTCTGTGTTGCTTCGATGTAGTGCCAGAGAAGCCTTGACAGTTCCGTATGTAAACAGGGGGTGTATCTCTCGTCCAGTAGAATTGTATTTACCAAAACAGGCAGAGGACAAGATTTGACCAGTAGACTGTGGTTTGCCAGCCCCCTGCCCTATGCCAGCCCTGATTCAGAGAGAGGTTTTCACAAAGATGTTGTAAACTTCCAAATGACAACAGCCTTTTTAGCAGCCACCATCAAGTCTACTCACCTCCCATAAACCACCTCCCACAAACTACGCACAAGGGGTAGTTACTGTACTACCCCTTCTCTGTAAAGTGCGTTTCTATCACTCTTCACTCTTTCAGCCGGGCTTGGACCCAGCTCCTTGACAGCCACAGGCAACCTCGAATATCCTACACTTTGTGTATCAGCTTGAGGGGAGTTTGCATTTGTTGCCATTATTACATGTAAACTTGTTTGCAGGAATTATCACTGAATTCAAGGGCTGGCAGATACTTTTGTTTATACAAATACATTTTAACCCAATTAACTGTGAGGCGAAGGTAAAAAAGAAAGACAGTATGGAAATGTCGAGTCATTTGGAACCACCTGCTATAAGAGAGATCCTGAGTGTCTCTACACAAATATTAATATAACTCAGCAGGCGTATTTGTTGAGCTTCCTACTATGTACAAGAAACCAAGTTAAATACTATATTCCGAATACGAAACAAAGAAGGCCTTTGTCTTTATAGAATTTACAAATCATAGAAACACTGAAGCAACTCTAATCAAAGAGGATTTTAACTTTCTAAGGTGAGATAAACACAAAAGTGCCCTCGGGGGTTCAGAAGGAAAATGTTCAATCCGGAGGAACAAAGGATGGAGGAGGTGGTTATTTCAATTGGGCCTTCAGTGTGCAAAAGAACAACATATGGAAGCCAACAGCCCCCTGAGGGTCTCTTGCGGATGTGCCAGGCATTACACAGATCCTAACGTCTCATTCAAGATTTTGTAGGAAATCGTGGGAGGTAAGCCGGGGGGAATCAGAGCGCAGAGGTCCCTGGATACCAGCTGAAGTATGTGGCCTCATCTCAGGAGGGAGAGGAAGCAGGAGCTCCTGAGGATGTGTGAGCGGGAGAGCCATGTGATTAGAGCCACGAGGGGAAGGATGGGAAGTAAAGGGAAGAGCTCCAGTGAGCAGGGGAACCAGATACTGAAATAGTCAACATGAACCATAATGAGAACCTTGCAGTGAGAATAGGGGTAAAAGAAAGCATACGGATTCTCAGTAAAGAGCCTCTAGGATTTGACCACCGACTGAATGTAAGAAAACAAGCAGATGGCATTGCTGACAGGGCTCTGATGTGGTTCAGTCAAAAGTCAGACATGGGTTCAAATTTCAAATGTACCATTTACTAAAAATGTGAATTCTGTGCTTCAGTTTCCTCATCTGTAAAACGGAGCTGATAACGTTGAACTCATAGGAGATAATACATTTAAAGAGCATGGATACAGTAAGCACTCAATAAATGATAGCTGTTGATATTATATATTCTTGGGAAGGTGAAAGTGTGGTCATGACGGCTCTGAGTTATTGGGAAAATCTATGTGTGAAATGGTATCTCATGGTTTTTATTTGCATTTCTCTAATGATTAGTGGTGTTAGGCATTTTTTCATATGCTTGTTGGCCACATATGTGTTTTCTTTTGAGAAGTGTCTGTTCATATCCTTTGCCCATTTTTTAATGTGTTTTGTTTTGGTTTGGTTTGGCTTTGGTTTTTTGATTTAAGTTCCTGACAGATTCTGGATATGTGACCTTTGTCACATGCGTAGTTGCAAATATTTTCTGTCATTATATAGGTTGTCCATTTATTCTGTTGATAGTTGCTTCTGCTGTGTAGAAGTTCTTTTTTTTAATCAGGTCCCACTGGTCAATTTTTGTTTTTGTTGCAATTGCTTTTGGAGTCTTCATCATGAAATCTTTGCCAGGGCCGACATCCAGGATAGTATTTCCTAGGTTCCTAGGTTTTCTTCTAGCTTTTTCATAGTTTTTGGTTTTACATTTAAGTCTTTATTTCATCTTGAGTTGATTTTTGTATATGGTGTAAGGAAGGGGTCCAGTTTCAATCTGCATATGGCTGGCCAGTTATCCCAGTACTACTTAGTGAATAGGAAGTCCTTTCCCCATTGTTTGTTATTGTTGGCTTTGTCAAAGATCAGAGAGTTTGGGTTTATTTCAGAGTTCTCTATTCTGTTCTGTTGGCATATGTGTTTTATTTTTGTGCCAGTACCATGATGTTTTGGCTACTATAACCTTGTAGTATAGTTTGAAGTTGAGTAGTATGATGCCTCTAGCTTTGTTCTTTTTGCTTAGGATTGCTTTGTCTCTTTGGGCTCTTTTTTGATTCCACATGAATTTTAGAATTTTTTTTTCTGATTCTGTGAAAAACGTCATTGCTAGTTTGATAGGAATAACACTGAATCTGTATATTGCTTTGGGTAGTATGGCTATTTTAACAATATTGATTCTTCCTATCCATGAGCATGGAAAGTTTTTCCATTTGTGCCATCTCTGATTTCTCTGAGCAGTGTTTCGTAATTCTCATTGTGGAGCTCTTGTATCTCCCTGGATAGCTGTTTTCCTTTTATTCTTTTTGTGGCTATTGTGAATGGAACTGCATTCTTGATTTGGCTCTCAGCTTTGACATTATTGGTGTATAGAAATGCCACTGATTCATGTTAATTGATTTTGTATCTTGAAACTTTGCTGAAGTTGTTTATCAGATCTAGGAGCCTTTGGGCAGAGACTGGGATTGTCTAGGTGTAGAATCATATCATCTACAAAGATAACTTCCTCTCTTCCTATTTTCTTTCTTTCTCTTGCCTGATTGCTCTGGCTAGGACTTCCATCTACTATGAGGAATAGAAGTGGTGAGAGTGGGTATCCTCATCTTGTTCTGGTTCCTAAGGGGAATGCTTCCAGCTTTTGCCCCTTCAGTATGTTGTTAGCTATGAATTTGTTATAAAAGACTCTTACTACTTTGAGATATGTTCCTTCAATGCTCAGTTTGTTGAGATAGGACATTTTTATCACCCCCAGAAGTTCCATTGAATGGTGCTGCTCTACACGATATCAATAATTTGTAAGCTTTAAAGAGTTTTGTGCTCTAATGGCTACATTTCCTACTTGGTTTCTACCTCACTTCTTACCCTTCAAGTTTATCCTTGACTAAACCAGTGTTGAGCCTTCATCAGCTGGTCCCCAACAAAGCATACTGTGTGTATATAGGTCTCTTTCTCACTGTGAATTTCTGACAAAGACATTGCAAAGCTAAACACCAGGTATTTTTTTGATAGGCACTCAGGTGTTTTCTAGACTTATTCTTATTTATTTAGTTAGTTTTTGGAGACAGAGTCTCGCTGCATCACCTAGGCTGGAGTACAGTGACACAATCTCAGCTCACTGCAACCTCCACCCTCCAGGTTCAAGTGATTCTTGTGCCTTAGCCTCCCAAGTAGCTGGGGCTACAGGTGCATGGCATCATGCCAAGCTAATTTTTGTATTTTTATTAGAGATGGGGTTTCGCCATGTTGGCCTTGGCTGATCCTGGCCTCATGTGATCCCCCTACCTAATGTCCCAAAGTGCTGGAATTCTAGGTGTGAGCCACTGCGCCCTCCCTTCCTGTGCTTATTCTCATTATTGCTACAAATATAATTAATAAAGCCAGATTCAGTAATTTTAAAGATACAGCTAATACTCTTAGTTCCCATAGGCACAGTCCTTCATGCCAAGTATGAGCTCCAGGAAGGTTTAAAGATAGCCCTGTAGGTTTATTAGCTTCCTATTGCTGCTGTGGAAATTACAACTAACTTTGTGGCTTTTGCCAACACAGACTTATTCTCTTGCAGTTCTGGAGGTCAGACGTCTGAAATCAGCGTCCATGGGCTAAAGTTAAGTTGCTGGCAGGCTGGCTTCTTCTAGAGTCTCTGAGGGGAGGATGGTTTCCTTTCCGTTTTCAGCTTCTGGTGGCCACCTATATTCCTTGGCTTTGGGCCCCTTCCTTCATCTTTGAAGTGCATCACTCCAGCCTCTGCTTCTGACATCACATCACCTTTTCCTCTTTGTAGTCGTATCTCCCTCTGCCTCTGTCTGATAAGGACACTTGTGATTACATTTAAGGACAACTCAAATGATCTAAAATAATCCCCTCATCTCAAGATCCTTAACTTACATGTGCAAAATCCCTTTTGTTATGTAAGGTAACACTCACAGGTTCCAAGAATTGGGATATGGTTGTATTGGGGGCCTTCGTTATTCCAGCAGTCCCTGACCTTGTTTGAAAACAATGGAACTATGGAACTGGTTTTATGGAAGACAATTTTTCCACAGATCAGTGAAAAGGGGTGTGAGGAAATGGTTTGGGGATGATTCAATCACATTACATTTACTGTGCACTTTATTTCTATTATTACATTATAATATATATAATGAAATAATTATACAACTCACCATGATGTGGAATCAGTGGAAGCCCTGAACTTGTTTCCCTGCAACTAGATGCTCCCATCTGGGGGTGATGGGACACAGTGACAGATCATCAGGCATTAGAATGTCATGAGGAATGGGCAAGCTAGATCCCTCACATGAGCAGTTCACAATAGGGTTCACTCTCCTATGAGAATGTAATGCCATCGCTGATCTGGCAGGAGGCAGAGCTCAGGTGCTCATGCGAGCGATGGGGATCGACTGTAAATACAGATGAAGCTGTGCTCGCTCACCCGCCACTCACCTCCTGCTGTGCAGCTCAGTTCCTAACAGCCATGCACTGATACAGGGAATAATACAAGGTTGGGGACCCTTGCATTATTCAGTCTCCCATAAGGTTACATAGAGTACTGGTTAAAAAAATTTTACCCTTACCAGATTTCTCTATCCAGGGCTTTGAAATGAAGCTTTGGAATTTGATGAAAGCATGAGGTGTTTGTAATTGTGTTGACAGATATTAAAATGTCTGATGATGCTGGTGACACCTTAGCCACTGGAGACAAAGCAGAAGTTACTGAGATGCCCAATAGTGATTCTTTACCTGAAGATGCAGAAGTGCACTGTGATTCAGCTGCAGTTTCACATGAGCCAACACTGGCTGACCCCAGAGAGGACGGGCATGAAAATGCAGCTGTGCAGGAGGCAGTGGCTGCTGCCACTGGGCCTCCTGTGCAGCCTCAAGATGCCAGCACCATGGAGCCCCCTCTCAATGGAGAAGTGACTAAGGATACACTTGCTGAGTGTATTGATTCCGTCAGCCTTGAGGCAGAACCCAGATCCGAAATACCCCTGCAAGAACAGAATCATCCGGTAAGAATGGGTCACTTCAACCTAAGTTCATGCTTATACTGAGTGCAGAGCTAGCACTGAGCTCTGTGGGTGGGAATTGGGAGTTTAAAATGTACTGTGACACACCTCTGTCATCAGAAATGTGTTGTATAGTGAGATTAGACATATATGAAAATAATTTGTCATAATATTTGCATTTTGATCAATGCATTATTAACAATAACAGCCACCAATTACTGGACACAAGCTGTGTGCCAGACACTCTGCTAGCCTCTTTATATATTATGTAATTCACTTCATTAACAGTATAAAGCTGAGTGTTACTAACTCCAGCTTATAGCTGTGGCAGCCAGGCTCCAGGATGGTAGCTTGTCCTGGGCTACTTGGTTGTAAATGGAAGATATTGTAATATCAGACATCATGACTCCAGATAATTAGCAAGCCTGATTCCACCCTAAACAAGTTAATGTTTCTTTAAGATCACTTTAAATCTGGCGTATTTTACAAATCCATGGTGGGGACCTTCAGCCTTCAGATCACTGTTTTATTATATTATCACACACCACCTTCCAGGGGAACAGAGGTGGAACACACTCATCACCCCTTCCCTTCAGTGCCTGCACCTATCTCTCAGGGTATGAGATAAGTCAGATCTCCCTGTTGGCACCTGGGCCACCAAGAAGACTCCCAGCAGGGTTTTCCTGGAGCCTTCACCTCCAGTCATGTGGGGCCGGGCAGGGGTGGGAGACTGGGAGACACCCCACACGAAAGGAGGAGACGGGCTGCTCTCCCCTTTCTGTCTGGGATGGCCTGCCTTCTAGAAGGATGGTGCAGGAGGGAGGAACTGGAGTCTTACTTAGCCATCCCCAGCCCTGTTTATCCTGAAGTGTGCCATCACAGATCACACTGTTGAAGTAACTGCTGCATGACATGAGGGACAGGAACTAAACAGGAAACCGGGGGGCCTGGGCTTTCACCATCCAATCTCTCATAAGCTCCATTAGTTTGAGCCAGACGCCCTAATGTCTCTGCACTTCAGCTTTTTCCTCTCTGAAGTGACTAATGTTTTATGACACTTGTATTCAAGATTGGGCTTCCCTCCCACCTACTTCCCTCAAGGGGTTTGATCCTCAGAACTGTCTGAGATAGGCTTCCTCAGGGGCAAGGTGTTTCCCTTCACTGGAAATGTTTAGACAAAAGCCCAACAGTCATTTTATTTATTTATTTATTTTTTTGAGACAGAGTTTCGCTCTTGTTACCAAAGTTGGAGTGCAATCGCACGATCTCGGCTCACCGCAACCTCCGCCTCCTGGGTTCAGGCAATTCTCCTGCCTCAGCCTCCTGAGTAGCTGGGATTACAGGCACACGCCACGGTGCCCAGCTAATTTTTTGTATTTTTAGAGACGGGGTTTCACCATGTTGACCAGGATGGTCTTGATCTCTTGACCTTGTGATCCACCCGCCTCGGCCTCCCAAAGTGCTGGGATTACAGGCGTGAGCCACCGCGCCCGGCCCCAACAGTCATTTCATTGGGATGTTATGGAAGAGATTTGAGGACCAGCTGGGAGTTTGGATCAGATAGGGTAAACATATAACAAATTTTGTTTATTAGTTTCAGGAAGTCACTGGTCCTTTGAAGCCATTTTCAGATGCCCTAAATAATTAAGAGCCCCTACTTAGACCAGAAGTTCTCAACTTCAGCTGAATGTTACAACCACTGGGGGAGATTTAAAATATATTGAATCCTGGGCAATGTGGCAAAACCCTGTCTCCATGAAAAATACAAAAATTAGCCAGGCGTGCACCTGTAGTCCCTGGAAGAGGCAGGAGGATCACCTAAACACAGGTGGTCAAGGCTGCAGTGAGCCAAGATCACATCATTGCACTCCAGCCTGGGGGACAAGAGCAAAAATCTGTCTAAAAAAAAAATAATGGAATAGAATGGAGTGGGATGGAATATGGAATATGGAATGGAATGGAATGAAATATGGAATGGAATTTGTGGGTAACTCCCCATATAGGCACCGAGGAATGAGAGCTAAGCAGAACTCTGGCACAGTTAGGGCTTGAGGAATGTCTCACTTTATAGTGTTACCACTCAGCTATTTCCTTTTATATAACCCTTTATATAATCATATATTAGTTTATAGAATTAGGGCTTGATGAATCCCTTTATATAATCATCTATATATAATCATATAATAGTTAATAGTATGAGTGCCTAAAGAATATTTCCCTACATATATACCCTTAATTATATCTTAGTTCATTTGGAGGAATGCCTAGAGTGGACACAGTACAGAGCATGAATTAAGGAATAAGCAGCTTATAATCGGAGGAATGCCTAAGAGCAGACACAGTGCAGAGCATGATTTAAGGGAAAAACAGTTATGCCAGGACAAGAATCCATGGCCCAGGTGGCAGCGTTCAGTATCGTAAAGATACCCTCTGTATGGCTGGCTTGGGGCGAGAGCCAGACCTCCTGATAAAGGAGTTGTAGGACCTTACTCCAGTTCTTGTGGAAGGCTGCCCTCAGAACGGCAATCCACCTTGGTGACTGTGAACTTTATCAGCTCTTGCTATTGCGCTGCTTGAAAAGTGTCTTCCCATATAACCCATTGGAAGCTGCCAGAAGGTGGCAGTAACCCTGACAGCTCTGTCACTGCTGTGACTTAAAGCATCCTCCTATAAATCTTCTTAGTAGTTTGACCATAGATAGAAGTATTGCACACTATGCACGGCCCACCTTCAAACCTCAGTGACCTAATGGGGGTGGACCCCATGTTTTATTGCTCACGACCCTATCACTATCCTTAAAGATGATTTCACTCACTGCCCTGCCCCCTAACCTATAAACAGTAAATACTCATGCTTCTGGACATTTGGGGCCTCGCCTGACTCTGCTTATAGATGGCGTGGCCCCCCAGCCCAGCTGCGTTTTTCTTGTGCTTCTGTGTTCTGTCTCTTTATTTCTCGGATCCTGTGCCTCAGCACAGCATAAGGCTTACCCCACGACCCTGTGGGGCCATCAGCCCTACAGAATTGAATGGAATATGGAAAGGAATATGAAACAAAATGGAATGGAATATGGAATGGAATGGAATATGGAATTGAATATAGAATGGAATATGGAGTGGAATATAGAATGGAACGGAATATGGGATGGAACTGAATATGGAATGGAACCATATTCAGAGTGGAACCCAGCAAGGTGGAACCGAGAGGATTGGAACTCCACCCTCCCCACCCCCTACAACAGTGGCAGCATTTCAAGGACCTTGAAAAGGGGAGAATTTCCTAATAACGGAGCACCACAGAATTTTCTGAATGCAAATGCAAACACTGGCCACAGAGTTGGGTTGGGCCTATGGCTCTGGATGTGTTGTGTTGGATCAGAAGCTCAGAGCGCAGCAAGGCATGGGGACAGTACCTGGGAATTTGTTGCAAGAAGGGCAAGAAAGCCAATAGGCTGGCTGGAAGGGCCTGGGGGAGAGGATATCACTTTCACCCAGGTCATAGTTAAACCCTTCTGTGTAGGTGCAAATTTAGTCTCTTTTTAAAGATACCAGGAAAAGGGATTCTACTATCTCTCTTAGTAATGTATCTTTTTATTAGAAGTCAGTTTTATGCCTAGTTTTTTATTATTGTTCACTTTTTTCTATTTTATTTGCCTCCTGTTGCATACTCATAAAAAGTCATTTTGTATTAATGAAAACGACTCTTTCCCTGTTTCTCCAGAGCAGAGGGAATTCTACAAAACAAATTCTTGAATCTAAAGTTTGTTACAAGATGGTTGTTTGGATCTTGAACACAGGCCACCCCTAAGGAATGGCAGGTTCTGCAGGAAGTCAAGTACAAAAGCCTGTTTAATTCCATGTACATCTATGTCTGATAAATTCTCATCACCCTTTTAAAAAGGCTAATTTTTGTATTTTTAGTAAAGATGGGGTTTCACCATATTGGCCAGGCTGGTCTTGAACTCCTGACCTTGAGATCTGCCCACCTTGGCCTCCCAAAGTGCTGGGATTACAGGTGTGAGCCACTGCTTCCAGCCTGTTTTGTTTTTTAAATAGATATGAGAGCTAGCAAAGAAGTTGAAGTACAGTCTCACCACTACCACATTCCATAAGTGAAATCAAGTCTCAGATCACATTGCGCCACACTGACATTTTTTTAGTGAAATAGTATTTAAGAGAGTTGAAAATGGTTTATGAGAACTCTTTCTCTTATAGGCTTGAGAACATCCCATTGTTTAGGTGCTTTGACCTCCACTGTGAGTGAAAGGTTTACTCAAGGCAACTGCCTAGATTTCAGAGCTAAGATTTCATCACTCATTGCTGGCATCGAGTTACTAGAATTCCCCAAAGTTCAAAGCTTGATGGAAGACCCAGGGCAAAATCTTTTGTAACACCCTCTTCATGTAAAACTAGGGGGAGTCTAAAATATACTTAGCCATCTACAAATCTTGAATACCTTTTAAATTTTTTATTTTTATGTATTTATTTGAGATAGGGTCTCCCTCTATCACCCAGGCTGGAGTGCAGTGGTGTGATCTTGGCTCACTGCAACCTCTGCCTCCCAGATTGAAGTAATTCTCCTGCTTCAGCCACCGGAGTAGCTGGAAATATAGACATCTACCACCATGCCAGGCTAATTTTTGTATTTTAAGTAGAGATAGGGTTTCACCATGTTAGCCAGGCTGGTCTCAAACTCCTGACCTCAGATGATCCACCTGCCACGGCCTCCCAAAGTGCTAGGATTACAGATATGAGCCGCAGCCCCCATCCCCGCTCCTCCCTTTTTAAAAATAGAGTCTCTCTCTGTTGCCTAGGCTTGAGTAAAGTAGCAAGATCATAGCTCACTGCAGTCTTGAACTCCTGGATTCAGGTGATCCTCTTGCCTCACCCTACCAAGTAGATAGGACTACATGTGCACACCACCACACCTGGCTAATTTTTGAATTTTTCTGTAGATACCAGGTCTTGCCATGTTGCCCAGGCTGGTCTTGAACTCCTGGCCTC